TTTGTTAATCTTAATTTCCACTCTCACAGTCATGTTGATTCCGAAGAAAATATCAAAACTAATAGAGAAGATGAAAACATATTGTTCATGTGATATTACACAGGCTGTACGACCTGTGTTTGTCATATTTATTGCTCTTCTGGCATCATACATCAAACTGATTACAACGAGGTCACTATTCAAAAATATTCTGCCAATCTCCGCATTTTCTGCTCTAGTTATTGGTCTCTATCTTACAAGTAGAATCATAATTTTGCCGTAATTGTGCAATCCAAAATTATATCGATAGTATGAAAAAAACAATTATCTTACAAACAATCTGTTTTCTTAAACAAAAATGAAAGATGACAAAATATTTTTTACTAAGGAGTACCTTTTTTGTTAGATGTCGTTAATTGCAATAATAACTTTGAAGAAGCAAATACGGCTCAAAAGTGCAATGATGAACTCTGGGTATCGAGATGGATATCTTGTTGAACAAGCTTTTGCTTGATAAAAAAGATATATATGGTTTCTCTCCTTCAAGTCATGATGTCGATTTGGCATACATAAAAAAGGACAAATGTAGGAGTATTTTTTCAGGACAATTGTACACAAAAAAGCTATTTTCTATGGTCAGATGTTAACATTTAAAGGAAAAATAATATTCTATATATATATATGTGTGTGTATGTGTAAGTCGTACGAGAATAGAAAAGAAAATTTATACATATGTAGACAGACATGGAATAAACTGATAATTGTTTTCTACATATGTCATAAGACACTATCAATAAGTTTAGTTATATTTAGACAAGAAACCTTCTTTCAGTCGCAACTATATGTTATTCTTTTAGGTAATAAAGATGAACAGTTTTAATACATAGCGGTATCTTCCGCTTATCAATTGCGAATTCAAGGATTGTGTTAAAGTTCCTCATATCGTGAATCATTTTCAAAGTCTAGATATCGATTATCACTCATAATAGTGAATCGCAAATGAAAGGTTCAAAAAGCCTGTTTAAGATGAGATGAGAAAAAAATGGAAGAAAGCTAATCTTCTTTCGTTGTTTTAATAACGGCAGCTATCTGTATTACCCAAAGCTAGTTTCTTCTCGTCATAAGAATGTCTGTACCCAGTTATGGATCTTCAATATTGTCCAACAATAATAAACAGTAATAATCGTGTTTTCTCTATTTGCGAATAACATATACACGCACAAAACTCTCTCAAGACAGATATGATGATTAACAATAATAATGGTACTACAATTTTTCTTCTTTTGGTTGACTATATTCATCTTTGTATCTATAATGTTCTTAACCATCACTACACAAATTATGTATCATGTTTACTCAGTCTCTTTCTTCTTGTTTGTGATTGCTAATGATACATGGGAGGTATTATCCATTGTAAGAACGCGTATGTATAAAACCTTGTACATACACAAACATCTCTTCACTCTGCTCCAAAACTTATAATTTAAAATGCTTGGAATATCTGCTTCATCAATTTTCCACTAGATACGTAGAAGATAAGAGAGTATCACAATAATGTGGAAAATGACATATGCGGCTTAGATACAAATAACGATGGTCTTGTGAATTGGACTGATGATCGTTGAAATGCGTTTATTTTACATAAAAATGCGTTTTAGCATGTCGTTTCTAAATGTGTTTACAAAAAGAAAACACGCGAAGTTATATCATTTTAACGTCGGTAGAAACGCGTTATTCTAAAAAATTGTGAAAGGCAAAACTGTAGTTGTGAAAGACAAAAAACGTGTTTGAAACGGCTCTTTTAACGATCGTTCGCTAACGCATTCGGAAAAAACGCGTTTTTCGTGCCGTTTCTAACGGTTTTTTCTTGAAAGTTTTCGTTATTTCGAACTGCCACGTACTCATTTTACTGCTTTTCATTAATTTGTTGACGGCTAATATAATGTCAAGAGGATATGACCAATTGGGAAAGTGGCAGAATGGTGGGACAAAAGTTGAGGGTTCATATCTCTGTATCTTCCCTCTCCTTTTATGTTTTAATCATTTCAAAACGTGTTAACTAGCGTTTTCATTGTCGTTCACATTCATCGAAAAACGCGTTCGCTAACGCGTTGAGAAATTCTGGAAAATGCCTTTTCAAACCAGTAGATAAAAAAGAACGCGTTGGTTTTGAAACCTTTCATGCGTTTTTTGGTCGTTAAAAGCGAAAAAAACATGTTTTTTGGGCATTTTCAAGACTTGACGAGGGTAAAAATACAGACTGGAAGAAAACTAACAAAATGATAAATGGTGATCGTTTCTTTTTGTTATTCTATTTCTGCAATTTTAATTTTTAATTTTGACTGTTCTTTTCTATTTAATGTCTGAGATCTTTCTCAATATACTGATCTCACAGTGGCATTTATCATCGATTTTCTTACTATCGATTCTTTCACTAATAGACGTAGTGGTCTACTATCTTTAGATAAAATTTTCCAGTTTTTTCAATCTGTATGATGATTAGTTTCTTGTTCATATTTTTTGAATCACACCGCAACGCTTATCGGACGTCAGATTAACGACTTCCTCGTTCCATTCGCTTTTGCCTAAACATTCATAATTATCTGATTTCTTTTGTTGTCTTTGTGATCGTCTCAATACCTTGTGATGTCGTATGCATTTGTGTAGCTGCAGTAGCTTGAGTCTTTGAATATGGTTGAAGATTAGGATTGCCGTATTCTTTAAATCTCCTTGTACATTGTCTTAATGTTTTTCCAACATATGTAACGTCAACTACATAGGCAAGGGAATTATACTATAAAATTAACTGGTGCCCTTCGGTCACTTAATCAAATACAGCCTACGGTCAAAGCATACGATTTCATCACGGAAAATGGAAAAAAACCATGAACTACAATTTATTTATCGAAGTTATGAAGAAATTGTTCTTAAATGAAACCTCGAATCATCCATTAAATCGTGGCTTGGATGCATAAATCCCAGATTTGAAACAAAATGTTTCGCACCCCAATTTACATTTATTATCAATTTCATTTTTGTTGTATTTTGATTTTCATAAGCAGTTTTCTATAAAAAGTAAAAGAAGGATCATCTTAGGCTTCTGAATAAAATGAGATGTCTCCCAACTCGAGGCAATGTTTTAAGCAAAAGTTACGAGAGTTTTGATAAAGGTTCAAAAAAAGATGTCTCATTTATCTCGAAAATAGCTTTCATCTTTACAGTATTTCGTACTTGCAGGAATTTTGCCAGTTTGACAGACGGAAAGCTAGGGTTGGTCTCCAACTAAAACCAAGACATAGCTCTACAAAGAGACATAGTCTAATTTTAGATATTTTGCTTTTATGACAGCAGGCTTAAACAGTCGAAAATTCGAAAAATAAAGAGAAAAGCTTATCTAGAAAAAATTTCTGACACATAAAATAGATGGAAATTTGAAAATCAGGCTCTGTGACACTGTTTAGGGTACGCTGTAACTTTAATTTTAGATCAAACCAAGCGCTCTATCACTCAAAATGACCAAAAATTGCTGCATATATGTCAAACGTTCCTATTTGATCGATGTTCGATTGACATCCTCTGAACGTTGATAGATGGAGGCCCGTAACTATTCCTCATCATGCTCAGTATTCTCTGAAACTTTAGTTTATATTGAACTTCTGGCCACGGAGATAGAACACAATAAAAGGTTATCTAAATAGTTTCTGTCTTCCAGATACAAGTCGTTTGAATATATTTTCAAGTGAATGCTTTACTTGAAAATGAAATATACTTAGAAAGAAATCTTGATTCCTTTATGCCTTTATTACATAGGAAAAAAATTCGTTAACCAATGTTTGTTATTCAAATGAAGAATAATTTGATCATAACCTTTTAACATCAACTTCATTTAAATTTCGAAAAAACAATATCAGACACCACTATGCGGTGAGTGTCAGAAAACTGAGTGAGAAGTATGTAAAATGTTGCTAGGATAGTCTTGATTGAACAACAGGAGAAATCGATGAGTAGTTGAAAGCGTCAAATCTCAGTAAGATCGTCATAAACATGTTCTTCTATTAGCAAATACCATTCAGCTGTCCAGTAGCATCTGCTAGGGTGACGATACTAATTGCATCAATTTGAGGTTACCCGTTCGTGCAGCACATTGTGAAGTGGATAACTTGGAGATAGCAGCATCATATTAACTGTGTTATTACACTTAGCTTTATAAATAGAAATTAGACATATCTGTTTTGTATGTTTTTTTTCTGTCAAATGAATAAAGGCAAAATAATTGTAGAACATTCTGTATATAAAAGAGTTCAAAATGAGAAATATAGTAAACATATACTAAATAGACTTTGTTCGTCAATTTCAATTTTCAACTATAGATTTTGACTATTATCCAATATCTAATATTGCTATTACAATTCCACGTCATAGTTCTCAGAACTTTTTCCAGAACTAAGTATAACAAATTATGATTGAAATAATGTTTAGATCAATATATCAATCGTTTTGTAATTATAGTAGTAGACGATAAACTGTTGAATGGGCAGGGCATCAAATACGAAGATTTATTCGTAAACAAGTGTTCGTGTCTCTGAGAAAAGACGTTAAAAGATATTCACATACTATATTTGACAGAATCCTCTCCAAACTAATACACTGCCGTTGAGCTAATATACTGAAAAACTGACTGCCAGCGTTTGAACCATTGCCAGTTTAATGCTGTTTTTTAAGAATAAATGGAAACATGTGAAAAAATGATCAGTTGGTCCATCCACGTCAATGTAAGCTTGTCTAAGATTGAATACGTGGCGATAAATAACCTTGTCGCAGATGGCAATATGCAAATGAGTTTGGTATAAAAACAATGTCGAACAGCATGTTTCACATTACACAAAAAAATTTCAAGTTTCTTTAACAACAACAAAGTGATTACATCAAACACAGATAAAACATCAGATTAGGTAAGCATTCAACTTCTTTTACTTATTATATTGAAGAAATTGTGTTATAAAAACTGTTAGAAATCAATAATGATCAACTTCTTGAAATATACGTTCGCAATTGTGTTACTTGGCTACTATTGTGATGGTACATTAGCAGTCGTTGATGATCAACCTGATAGTACTCCACCTGAACGTTATACAATTACACACGAAGCCGTATTTGATATTGTTGTACGAGAAAATGCAGAAAGCACGGAAATTTTACAGAGTGGTCAGATTATAATCGGATTATTTGGAGATATTGTTCCTATGACGGTTTTAAATTTTGTTAGTATCACAAATGGACTTTATCGTAGTCAGGTGAGTGCTTGATTGAAAATCTAAATTTACTTTAATCTAATTAAAATTTCTCTTTTAGACAAACTTTACATACAAAAATGTACCGTTTCATCGAGTTGTTCGAGATTTTTGTATACAAACAGGTGACTTTATTAATAGAGATGGAACGGGAAGTAAGTAGCAAGTAATATGAACCCATTCACTGGAATCTACATATAACTGTTTTCTTTGTAGGTATGAGTATATACGGTAAAAAATTTGTTGATGAAAATTTTCGTCTTTCTCATATGTCCGAAGGCTGGGTATCAATGGCCAATTATGGAAAAGACACCAACGGTTCTCAATGGTTTATTACATTAGTACCTGCGCGATGGTTAGATGGACACCATGTCGTGTTTGGACGTATTCTTCAAGGAATGAAATTTATTCATGAACTAGGTGAAATTCCAACATTTAAAGAAACAGCAATGCCAAAAAATTACATTGAAATTACAAATTGTTCAGCCAAAGATGTACAACGATACGATTTAACCAAAGACGATCTGATAGCAAATCAAGACATAATTGTGGCATAAAAACTACAACTTTGATAAATTCTTCGTCAAGTACTTTAGAATCTCTTTAGCGGACTTTTTTATCGTTATTTCATAACGACACATCCAAGTTGCTGATAAACATCGTGTGTAGGAGTGAAAAAAGTCCTATTCTTTTAGTGAACATTACTGACAACGGTAAATAGAAAAACAGTTAGCGCTGATTTAATGATAATTAAAAATTAGTTATAGTTTTTATGGTAACTTTTTTTAATCCCTTTTATCATTTTGTCTTTCTCATAATTATATTCTGAAAATTATGTTTATAAAAATAACCATCTACACTAGGTATATACTGATTATCGTTCTCAATTAATCAAATCAAAAATGGAAAGTTTGATCAATTGATTGATAATTCAGTGATTTCTCATAAATCTATTATTTAACGCTAATTTATTTTTTTTCTCTTTTCAAAACAGTGATCATAAAGTCAACTAACTGATAGTTATCATTATTTCAACGATAACTGGATAAATAGTTACTGTTACTTTAACAATGACTAATTTTCAGTTAGCATTAAATCAACATAACAGAAACTTTCTCACGCCTAATAGTGTGTTGATGTGTATTACAATAGACTTTGTCAAATATAATGTCTTTTTTGTTTGAATAAAACTTGATTTACGAATGTATTAAATCTTTCGTTAGCCAATTTTGTTCTGCATTTACACTTGGATATTTCTTTGCACATAATATTTCCAATAGTTTCAAGTTTTTATACAAAGATTCGTCTTTAAACCATTCATGTCTTAATGCTTCATTTGCTTTTGTTCTGTTCTGTGGATTTGTTACAAGCAAATTAGAGGATATAAAATCTTTAGCTGTCGACGATATACCGATCCATTCTGAATACATATAATTTGAATTGTTCACATATTCTTCAGCTTTCGCAACGTTATTATGATCGTATGGTGTTTTACCCGATAAACATGCGTATAAAACAATACCAACAGCCCAAATATCAGTTAGTTTATTGTATCCACGTTCATTATGGTACAGTTCAGGTGACATATACACTTTCTAAGAATGAACATAACAAAATAGCTGATATACAATTATATTATTATTACTAACTCACCGTTCCAACTTGTGTTCGTCTTAATGAATGATCGAGGATGATTCTCGCATATCCAAAATCTGCAAGTTTAACAAGTTCAATTGATCGATTATTCAAAGAACTATCATGAATGAAGTTAATTAACAAATTTTCTGGTTTTATATCGCAATGACACTAAAACAAATTCTTTTAATATCACTTTAAGAATAACTTACATGATTGATCAAAAAGACTCACAATATCTGTTTCATGCAAATAAGCGACTGCTGTAAGAATTTGATAAATGATGAATTTTGATACTGTTTCACTTAAATACCCATTACTCGTTATATATTCATATAGATCTTTGTCCATTCTTTCAGTGAAAATATACAAACCTTCTTGTCTTGCAAAACATGCTTCAAATTTCAATATATTCGGATGTTTCAATTTACAAAGAATATCAATTTCCGCATATCGTTCCTCATAACTACTTGGACTACATTTTGAATAATCGATATATTTAACAGCTATCTTTTGTTTTGTTGATCGACGCATAGCTCCCACAACAAAACCAAACGAACCCTGTCCAATTGGTTCATTTGTAAATTCGTAGATATCATGCATATCTTGTTGATTGCATTCTTCTGGAGGAAACTTATATAAACTTACATGTCTTTCTGAAGGTCGTAGTGAATGGGTGGGTGGATTAGTATATGCTATTTCTGGCCGTTTAGTGGCTATTCGCAAATTTTTTTTCCGCTGTTTTATGTTAGCTAATACCGTATCCCATTTTAGTATTAGGGTAGAACAAAATTGATCAGTTATAAGTCGAGCATCGTCTGATTCAGATCGTTTACCAATACATATTAATAAATTAGAACATACGACTTCAAATCTATGCTTAGTGAAATTGTTAATTTGATGGACAATATAAACATTTTGCACATTTTCTAATGGTAAAGAAAAGTATTGCTTCGAACCCGTTTCTATGTGGAGACTACTAGTGGTTAATTTCATATGAGCTCGTCGATAAATATTTTCATTTTTAATGAAAAAAGGTATTTGTGCATCAATGGATGACTCTGATGATCCTGTTTGTTTGAGACTTGTACGTGTAATCGCTTTAGTTTGTTTTGGCTGTGGAACGGCTTCTCCAGGTACGCAATAATGAGTAAAATATGGCGCACAACTACCGTGAAATAATTGATCACACGACCGACATACGACTGCATGCAATAACGCATCACCAACCATGGATTTGCCACAGCGTGAACAGTGTTGAGGAATTGTTAATGAACATTCTTGCAGCGAATTAGTGGCAATTTTATTTTTTATTCGAATGAGAACTATTTCAATCGTACAATTGTTCTCGATATCCGAACACGTTTGTATCAATGTCAAATGGGGAATTTGTTCATGAATACAGTATAAGTAGAGCTGATAATTATCCAAATTTTCCCGTGGATTTTTAAGACATTTTGTTGAAATATCACGGACAAATTGTTCACAATCAGCTCGAATTCGATGGAATAACTGATTTTGATTATTGTAAGACGAAATATCATATTGACGTGAACGGTCAAAATAATTAAATTTTAATGTTAATCGAAGTGTTTTAAGTCGGATAGTTGCTTCTTGTTGAGTCATATGAAAAAAAATTGAATTAAATAAGTTGTTGTTGGTTTCTAATTTATTTTTAACAGTGTTGAAGTTATTTTATCGCCAATAGAATTGTATAATACCCAAATTTCTCGGTTTAGGAAGTGCAATTCGCTTTCTATGAATAGTCTTTAGCTATTTTATGCAGCTGATAACAAAACTAGCAGAACAACGAACAGTCAAAACATGTGTAATAAAAACAGGTGTAATAAAAAAAGGTGTAATAAAAATGTTTAATAAAAACTATTAGAGATATGATGAAAGTCATGGATCTTATACAGATATTTGTACAAAGTGAATCTATGACGATGGTTGAGGACGTGCAAAGTTGATGTTCTTGGAACAACATGTGCCACACGTTTCTGCATTGTGTCGAGGTCACGCCAAGCTCCCGAACCAAGCAAAATGAAACTTTTGCTCAGATCTTATTTTGTAGAGCACACTTTAGACTATCTATTTGGAGAAAAAAAATCGATCGATTGTTATGTAAAATTTTGACCTATGAACTGGTTTTCCAGAAATCCTCCGAAAAATCGATTTCAGAAAGTTTTCAGAAAATGTTTATGCTTACATAGGTTAAATTGTCCTCTTTCCATTATCGGAAACCGTAAGTCTCTATCTTTTACCTTCTTTGAATTATTTAAAATATATCCTAGTCCACTGAAGTTTCTAACAGACAATAGTTATTTACTAGTCAATCAGAATCTTGACAGATTTTTGATATCTGCACAGAATCTTGATAAAATCTTCAATATTTTTTGGAGATACTTAAGGTATTATTTTCAGCTGTTTTTATCTACTGTATTCTACAGCACTAGCTTTGCAGTATTATACTGTAAAAATAGTAGTAATCAGTTTGCAGCTCTTACGGTGCCGTTCAGACAATACCGAAGCTGTTCAATCAAACGTTATATCCATATAACGGACTTGATAGTTTTGTGAAACTCTTCCTATATCCCCGAAAGAAAGAGGAGTTGAAGTTTATACTCGAAAACCCTTGATTTTGGCCATTTTTTTAAACTCCTCTTCCTCTGGTGGTCATATCGTCCTAAACTGGTGGACACATCGTCTTAAACTATTTAACAACTTTTAAGTAGTTTCATCATTTTAGCCCCATAAGGAACTGTCCTGATAAGGTTTTTCATTTATTTACAGTGCGCCTAGTGGTTCTTATAATATGCATATGCACTGCAAAACAAAAACGGTGATAGGGAGAACAACAAGTATAGCTTTCTTCATTAAATCTCTTCAAAATCTTGATAGAGAATCCTCAACATAACTCAGACTCGGAGTCGTATAGTGAGTCCTGATCAAGATCTTGATTAAGAATTTTCAAGAGGCAAAATCTTTAAAGAACTTAAGCGGATTTTCAATTTCTGCAAGACGTGGTGATCGTGTCCGAATTTGTAGATTCTGACAAGAAGATCCTCTCTTTTTTCGAAAAAACTTTCAATTCATGAGTTGATGTTGAGGAAAGTCTGATTTATAAAATAAGATTAAATTTTTTTGAACTCTTATAAGAATCTTGCAAACTTTTGTATAAAATCTTATGAACACTTGGAACTTCTTAAGGCATGGTCATTATAAATTGTTTCTAATATATACTATATTTCTTTAATATCTTAACCTTTGGCAAGGATGGATATTATTAATCAAAGAATTTTTTGCCAGAGTTCAAGGACTTTTACTCCTTTTAGCAACCGTGACCGCTAACACCATCTTTCCTTACTGCGATTGGCAAATTGATTTTGGTGAATCAAACAAGTTTTAGTCATCTTGTCCAGTTTCATTTCTATTCACTAAATTATGAAAATGACAGAATAGACGGCGAAATTCCAATTAGATACTCATTTTGTTTTTGTAAAATTTAAAGAAAACAAACAATAATTCAGATTCCTTTTAGTAAAAACGTGTAAATAAATGTGGGTAATTTGTTTCAGCAAAAACTTTGAGTGGTAACTTAAGTAAAGAATACTTATTTCGTAAAATATTGTTGCTGTTTTGCATTTTGTTGCCATCGAACTGTTCTGGTTATATCAGTGTTTTTAATGAGAATATTTTCCAGAATGGAAATCCTAGTATATTTGTTTTTTTTTGTTCATCCCATCCCATCCCCTCCCTGTAGTTATGATCTTAATTAAATAAGGGCAGTTGTTATGATCGAAAGTTATAACCTTAGAGCCCCTACTCTAGTAAATATACTTGAGACCAAGTGCTTGGGCACTTGTAAATTTCGCTTCAGTACCAGTATTGCTTCAGTATCGCTTCAGTATTGAGCCAGAGTTTCATCATATCGTCTTACGTAACAAGTGCATACAGAGAAAAATGAGTATCCTTCGCCCGCACTAGCACAGTGCGTGCCGAAAGGGGGCATCGGATAGGAAACAATTGAGAGAATTTGTTATTCATTCTCTGGCGTTTTACTTTTCTTAGTCAGGTTACATACAGCTTTACTTGTCTTTCCTCTCTTTTTTCATATCACATAGATGTTTATTTGTCGTTTTGGATTATTTTTCTTTGTGATATTATACGCCATAAAGTTTTTAAGCAAACAGGTTTACTTGTTATAGTTAGTTGGAGATTAGATGAAAGCGAACAGCATTCAGTTTTCTTTTATTAAGAATTCGTCTAATAAGATTATCTTTTTGAATAATTGAATACGAATGCATTCAAAAGAGTCAGGTCTTGCATCTTACAGAACCGGTTGCAATTGCATGATGCAAGATCTAACTATTAAGAGCGGATCCACATTTTAACTCAAAATGGTAAATTTACTAGATAAGTAATTACCAAGTGCTTGAAGAAAAGGACGTGACGGATACTTGTAAGGCACCTAGAAACTATCTGAAACACTCGCAGACAATTTGTAAGTACTTATCATATTACTTGCGCTTGCGCTTGCACTTCCTTAGTACTAGTCAAACTAATCAAGTACTTGTATCCCTTAAATTACTTGATAAGTGCCTCTTTTACTTCTAAAATACTCTCGGTACCCTGGACATTGCTTACCCAAGCACTTGTCTAAGTACCTGGTCTCAAGTACATTCACTAGAGTATGTCTAACCTTAAAATCGTTCTCGGTATGAATTAATGATCTTTAAATTATTCAGGGCCTTATTTACGATTTTACAGCCTCTAGCTATGATCTTAAAATATCTAGTGCTCGTCGTTATGGTCCTGAAGCCGTAAAAGGTTTATAGTTATGATTTTAAAACTGCTACGGAGCTAATAGTTATTATCCTTTTGCTCAGTGATCATATCCATGCCATCGATTTTTATTGAAAACTGACGGATAACCGCGGTTATCGAAATAAGTGACGGTTGCTGCTAGTCCAGCAGACGAACCGACGTTTATTTCAATAATCGCGGTCCGTGTAAAAGGCCGTTAGCCGCCGGTTGATCTTTTCTTTATCGAGGTTCATCACGTTTTTCAATTACTGATTACAAACTCAAGAATTAATAGTCGGGAGGAGTTTCACAGTTAGTCCCAAACGGGACTGCTCTGACAATGTTTTTTCCTTATTCTTCATGTTAATGAGTCAGTTTTTTGTTATTTTCTTCCTTTTAAGAACAAAGTGAGAATTCTCAGAAGGGAAGTGGGATGTTTTTTCCTTAGAGTGAGTAGTAGGTGAAAAATTTATTTTTTAGTGGGAATCCACTTTACTCTCGTTTATTCCATCAATGATTAAAAACAGTAATTCTAGTATTGTCGTATTCAAATTTTATTTATCTTACTGTAAGTTTGTCGTGTATAACTTAAATCATAAGGCAATACTTAAAATTTTCATGAAACTTTAAGGATATGCGAGAGCGTAATACTATACTTAAAATTCTTTGAAAGAAAAGGACCCTCTGTCAAGCACAGTATAAATTTATTTATTTTTCGCTGCGCTAAAGTGTAAACTCTGTAAGTGTGGTTTGTCTTCAATTATTCCTTTATATTATTTAGTTTTAGATGTTGGTAATTATATCTTTGTAAACAAAGTCAAGTAATCGACTTGATTTGTTATTTATTTCTTTAGAATAGGATGGATAGTCAACAAATTCAACAAGTACCGGTTGTTAACATTAAATCGGTTGATTATAATTCAGCACTCAATTGCCTCATTGGAATAAATAACAAAAATGAACTCTTTGTGTGTAATGCTGATAGGTTGTTAACTGTCTATTTTCAGACACAATCAGATGAAATAGTTGAAATAATATCATCGCATGACAAATGTTTGTTCATAACATCAACGCACATTTATGCTCGACAATTATATCAAGGTCTATATTTATTGAATACAATAAAATCAATTAATAATAACAATGTTCAAATTGAATTAACATTATCCGATGCACAACTGTTACTACAGGTGTAGACTTTGCTCCTTACTGTTTCTCTTTTACCACATCTCATCTGGTAGTCTCATTTGAAATACTGTATAGAGTACAGAAGTATTTTAAATCAGTTTTTCCTTCTTTCTCTGTAGTTTACTGGAAATCTAAGTTCAGATCTCCGAGGTTTTATTCGCACAAAACTGATTTAGTGCTTTTAGATAGGTTAAGTTGTATAATTCTATAATGAATTTATTTCCACTTGCATACTGGAATTATATCGCTTAAATCAATCGTAAATGTGTACACATATATCGACACAATTTCTATATTTTTTTTCTTTTCAGTTTCTAACTAGCATTGATTCATCAAGTATACCTCATTTAACAACATTCTATGATTATCTAAGGCAAAAAGTCGAATCAAATTCAGCAAGCACCATCGCTAATCAACAGTGGCAAATCATCACATTTAGTTATGATTGTCCGCTATTAATAAAAATATGTTCAGATACAATTCGACTGTCAAAACTAGTGAAGAAACAGCCACCACCTGGTTTTGTTGTTATTGGCTTATTATATGATTATTTAACACGTTGTCAACAACAGATACCAGAGAATAATTCTGGCGATGATGCTGATTCAACAAGTAAAGAAAACTCAAGTAGTGAATCATCGTCATTTGAACATATAACAGTAATAACACCTGGTGAGATAACACTATCATCTAAAGGTGCTCAGAAACCCATGCTGAGTGAAGCAACACGTTTAAGTACATTTTCACTTTGGCCACATTCATCGTGTCGTTGGTTATCACCAGTATGTTTCAAGCTGTCACTTGAGATTGACATGAGATAATATTGATTTTTGTTTTAGGAAGCTATGGCGGCGGCGGGTTTTTATTACTCAGGACTGAAAGATAATGATGATCGAGCACTATGTTTTGCGTGCACAGTGTGTTTAGTATGCTGGGAGCCGTTAGATATGCCAACATCTGAACATGAACGACATTCACCAAATTGTCCATTCGTCAAAGGGGAATTTACAGAAAATGTACCAATACGAACAACGTGTGCCACACAGCCAGGAAAAAATATTTACGATACAGACACAAAATGGTTAATTAAATCAAATGAACTGATATCTAATCGATATCTATTGTTTATGGATGAACAATGGTTAATTCGTTTGTGTGACATAAACTGTGTGCTCGATATTTATACATTATTGTCATTTAAACCTGTTGTTAAAAAGCTGAGTGAACCTGTTATGGACTTTGATCATGCAGTCAGGTTTGCACATTCTGTTTTTTTTGTCTATTCCCTATTTTCTATTAATTTGTATTTTTTATTACAGTTCGTGCTGCACAATATCGATAAACTCGGTTGATCCAATAACAACGAAATATCAAACAGCACTTATTCCATTAGCATTAACAATGTTTGATAAACAATCGTATTCACCCGATGTTTATCTTATTTTTTGTCTTTCCCACGTTTCAAATACAAACACTTGTTGTCTAATTGGTATTACGGTAAAGCGCCAAATTTCATCGACACCCTCTTCTCAAACAACAATGCTTAGTAGTCGTGGATATGAAAATGATCATCAACAGCAGCCAATATTTCCATATATGTATACGACAGACGATTATCACAAACCAACATCATTCTATGAAAAATCAGCGTTTATTGAAGACGAAGAGGAAACATTTGATAAATCATCAGGTGGAGGATCCGTTGTGCAAGTGGAAGATGATTCATATTCTAAATATCACGGATTTTCTATTTCACATTTTATAGATTTACAAAACAAAAAGAAAAAGAAGCCGACAGCGCCTTCATCATCTCCATCACAGGAACCACAACCACAACAAATAAAGAATATAATGAAAGCGTTGGACAAAACAAAATCAAATCAAGCAGAAATGATAACTGATCAGAGTAAATATAAAGCATGGTGATGGTGATAAAAATGATCTCATACTACGTGTATTCATATTTAGATGACGAAAAACAAAAACCAGATTTATCATCAAAGGCGAGAGATGTCAATTTAAGTTCACCTGGTGAAGATGAAAATAAATCGAAAAATAATTTAATAAACATCGAACATATGATTGAAATTTCTAATTTAAAACAAGAACCAAAACAAGGATACACTTACCAGTTAACAAATCGTAAATTATTGATATTCATTAGTACTGATAATTTTGTATATTCATTTATTTTAAAAATTCCACTTGATTCCAGTCCAATCAAAGTTATTTCAGCAGACTATGTTTGCCAAAATGAATCGACAGTAAGCTCTGTTTGTCCGTTGTTTCTTGAAGACGATCAAGATGGTGACTTTATCGAAGAGGATACAACCGACGAAGAACTAGAAGAGGAAGAAGAAACAACAACAGAGATATTGAATGATACTAATGAATTGGGTGTCGAATTTGGTTGTCGTCTTGAAACAAGAATAAATAGTGAACAAACAACAGAACAAAGACGAAAATGTTACTTATTTTTAATGAAATCAGGTTGTTTGGTTTTATATGATGCGTATAAGTCAATGAGAAAAATATCAGAATTAAATTTGATAGGCGATATTAATAACACATCGCAAGAACAACTGGTCACAGCTGGGTATGTTTCAACACCTCTACCATATCACATAGAAAAATGTGTACAGATTCGAGGAACAGAAACAATCTATGTGTGGAGTCACGAAAACGTTTATGAAGTAAGTGATCTATCGGAAAGCAAAATAAAAATTATATCTCTTTCTTTTCGTACAGAAAGTGACTAATTTTACGTTACATGTCTTAGAAAATTCGTTGATAAAAAAAGCTGTTTAAGTCATTGTTTATTGCTGCACAAAGAGCAAGATATAAAGCATTTAAACTTCCTTTACTGTTTGCTGATAATAGTAATTCAGCAGAGTCCATTAAGAAGGGAACATTAAGAAAAGTAGTCGAGTCTGTTTTATTGCTGTTGAGAAGAAATAGTTTAAAAGAGTGACATAGACGAATTTGATAGTCTTTTATTGCACAGAGATAGATTCTGGCTTCGTCGTAGTTTTATAGATACTATTATTGTGTGCAGTCGCTTTTTGCTTGAACTCTAGTGGAGAATAGGTAATCCACTACGCTAAATCCGAATCTGTCATCGATTTGTGCTGCTAGGCCTCTAGAGACCGAGTTTCTAGAAAACCAAGTTTTCATTAACTCTAAAACTAACCAGAACCTTTCTTAATAAGACACGATTATAGACCGCAAATTTCTGATTAAAATGAGATATCTCCCAGCTATACACGATCTTTCTTTGCAAAGTTATAGAATTTACACGAAAAGCCCTAAATTAATTTCTTATTTCTGTAGCTTTGAGCTAACGATGAACATTTAGGGCTTTTCGTGTAAATTCTATAACTTTGCAAAGAAAGATCGTGTAGAGCTGGGAGATATCTCATTTTAATCAGAAATTTGCGGCCTATAATCGTGTCTTATTAAGAAAGGTTTTGGTTAGTTTTAGAGTTAATGAAAACTTGGTTTTCTAGAAACTCGGTCTCTAGAGGCCTAGCAGCACAAATCGATGTCAGATTCGAATTTAGCGTAGTCGATTACCTATTGTCCACTAGAGTTCAAGCAAAAAGCGATTGCACACTTTGTGACCTTTCCTCGTTAGTCTTACTTCTCTGAATTAGGGAATTTGTACATCCTCATTTTGCTCTTGTCGAAAGCAACGATGGTGAAGAGAATGAGCTATAAGGTTTACATAATCGTAATTTCTGACTTCACTCATTGTCGTTATTTCAGCATAATCTTCGTGATTTATTTCCGTTGTATTTTATTAAACATGATGACAAAACAACTACACCATTAGTGCCTCTGTTACATCCAGTCGACAAACAACGATTATCAGCAGTGAGCACTGATGACTCGCCACAACTGTCAACGACTATGCCAGAGAGTTCTGTTTATTCGCTAGTTGCATTACGTCAACTGCTTTCGCTCACCAAATATGAACAAGATTCCATTATTTTTTTTGCTCAACACAATCAATATTGGATTGACATCCTATCTGAGCAACAACAAGTTAATAAACATTTAATGAATGAAAAACGACACCCAATGAATCAACGTCTATCATCTTCTACTCGAACATGGCGTTTACGAAATTGTTCAAAAGAGTCAAGTACAACAACTACGATACCACTTTACACTCATATATTTGATATTCAAACCACCATGCCATGTATT